TGTTTCCTCCTTCCCCTAATCAAATTAACCCCCAGATATTTAAGAGGGAGAGAGACATAATGATAACCTGTATAAGAGACCCCTCAATGAATAAGATGTTGCTTAACTTGTTTGCCAAAATACATCTGGCACTTGTCACAATTAAAGAGAAGACCCGAACAATTCTAGAAGTCATTTAAGAGCCCCATTAATTGTTCTAAAGTAGGTTTAGAGACATTAGCAAAAATAATAACATCATCAGCGTAAGCAAGATGACAAAACCACCATTTTGTCCTTATGAGAAAACTGTGTGAGGATGTATCAGCTGGAAATGATTGAACATTCTAGAAAGATAATCAAAGGCTAAAATGAAAGTAATAGGGGAGAGGGTCCCCCTGTTTTATGCCTCTATAAGTTGTGAAAAAACCATAAGAGTTACCATTAACCAACACGGAGTAATAGTTGTTAGGCAGCCATTTTTTCATCAATAAGCAAAAACTGGAATTGAAACCTCTGACCCTCAAAAGTTGATGATGAAATCCCAATTAATAGTATCAAAAGCCTTCTTGATATCTAATTTGATAACACGGTTGCCACCCTTGCATTTTTTATCGAGATCTTGAAAAATTTCTTGGGCTTAGAGAATATTGTTAGAAATATCACGCCTTTTATAAAAATCGATTGATGAGGAGAGATGAGATGAGGAAGATGAGGTTGAAGGCGAGCCAGAATCAATTTGCTAATAATTTTAGGAACCACAGAAGTGAGCGAGATGGGACGGAAATTCTAGATGGGATGGGATGGAAATTCTTCCAATGCGTTTTATCATTTGATTTAGGTATAAGAACAATCAAAGCGGCGGTGAAATACTTTCCAGGGTCTTCACCCTGAAAGAAACTTTGAATTGCGAGAACCACCTCTTTCTAAATGATGTCCCAACAAGAAATATAAAAAGCAGAAGTGAAACCGTCATGACCAGGGGCCTTTTGGGAATGAATATCTTTAAGTGTAGAGAAAATTTTCATCTCAGTGGGGGGATCAAATAAAGAGAGGGAGGAAACCATATCTCTATGATCATCAAACATTTTCGAGAGAATATCAGTGACCGGGTGAGCCTCTGTATAAAGAGAGGAAAAATAAGCAGTGACATTGAAACCAATTTGATCAGCATCAGTGAGGACAACACCCTCATCGGTAACAATCTTGAGAATGACATTGATATTCCCACGGTGTTTGATGGTGGCGTGAAAATATTTAGTGTTTCGGTCACCATTTTTAAAACGAGTGTCACAAGCTTTCTGTCTAAGGAAATCTTTCTCAATAGTGATTTCCTTCAAGAGAGTATGGTGAGTATGGGCTAACTTAGCAACAAGATCAGGAGTATCGATCACCTGTGCCTTCAGTGCATCCACCTCCTGTTGGGCTTTCAAAACCTTGGAATGTACATTGCCAAAAATATCAAGATTCCACCTCTTCAAGAAAGAAGCCACATTCTTATGTAATTGCCATAAAATTAACCAAGGGCTGCCACCCCACCGCGAAACCCAAGTCTGTTTAATCAAATAAGGAAAAGTAGGATGAGAAGTTCAAACATTAAGAAATTTAAAGTAATTCCGAGCAGGTTTTGAATGAGAAGCGAAACTAAGTAAAATAGGATTATGATCTGAAGCAGCATGGTTAAGATGTTTGACATGAATAATATTATAGTAGCCCAACAAAGAGTTCCCCAAAAATCTGTCCAATCTCTGCATAAGAAGGCCCCTCCTCCAAGTATAGGGAGGACCCGAGAAACTAAAACGGTTAATAAGATTTGTCCAATCTCTGCATATAGAGGCCTGCATCTGCAATATGCTCACAAAAACGGTTAATAAGATTTGTATCAACTTTAGCACCACTCTTCTTTCCGAAGGAGAATCATATTTAGATCCCCTACAACAAACCAATTATCAGAAATAGTATCACCCATTTGAATAAGCGGTTGCCAAAGAAGTAATTTGTCCCGTAATAAAGAACTGACATAAATAAAGGTAGTCCAACCATGAAAATTCTCCATCTGATAATGAATTAGAACATATTGCACATTATCATCTATAATGTTGAGAGTGATATCCTTTTTCCAAAAGAACCTAATTTTATTGTTCTGATTACTATAATGCATGTAACCCTTGAATTTCTTGATGATATCCTCCTTATGAACTGACACAAGCGGCTCCAAAAGAACAAAAATGCCTGGCTTATGGACCCTACATACATAAATTTTTTAAACGATTAAGGGGGGGGGGGCCCGCCACTCCCCTAATGTTCCATACTAGAATGTTAAACATTTTGTGGCCCATAACACCCCCCTCCTAGCAATCCTAGGGGAAGATGCAAGTGCTCATCCTCAGAATGATATGTGACATCAATATTTTTTGAATATGTCGTATTAGGAACTTCTGATTTCCTTCTACCTCGTTTACTGCTATATTTTTGAATTGTCCATTCAGATTCCAAAGCTAAGGCAACCACAGCAGTTGGGTCAGGCGGTGGAGTAATAGAAGGTATTGTAGTGTGTTGTGTAGGTAGTTGTGGGGAATTTTGAATGTGTGAATCTCCCGGCTGTGCATAAGGGAGCTGTACCGCTATGTCCTGTTCCGGAGGATTTTGTGTCGCAACAAACGGCTCCACGATTTCATCATACCTCTTAAAGGGCAAAGGGCCCACTTGTGCTACACCATCAGAATGAGCGGCACTGGTTGCCTCCACGCAGGGAGCAGTTTGTTCTACAACCAGTTCGACAGGAGGTGTTCGATGGACAGATTTCTATTCAATAGAGGATATACAACCCGAAGTATTTCTACGCAGTGTTGGGTGTAAGTGAAAACAGTGTGTTGAATTATGTCCAAACATACTGCAGTGCAAGCAGTAATGAGGATTTTTCTCAAGAAACACCTGTTGCCAATATCCCGTATGATTAGAACTAATCCAAACCTCCTCCGGAGGGGTTAAAGTAACATCACATTCTATCAAAATTCTAGCCATTGAAGACCTCGTTAAGTTAAAGGTTGGCGCATCGAGCATTAACGACTTACCGTATATAGCCGCAATAGAAGACAAAATTTCATGGTTGAACAAATGCACCTTTAAAATCGGAAGCCGAAGCCAGACTGGTATAATAGGCAACTCAGTCTGAGGATCAAATTCAATAGTCCATTTGAGGACTTTCGCAGTAGTCCATTTGAGGACTTTCATCCAGACATCCCCAAAATGTACTGTTCTTCGTGCAAAAAGTTTAGCATAATCATCCTCGTTAGAAGTTGAATCAGAATATGACTGCTATCAAGAGCACCATTCTTCCAACCCCCCGATAAGTTCAAGAGCTCAAAATGCTTCAGTAGGAAATCATATTTAGGAAGCTCGTATGGGAACTTACCTACAAGGTGAAAACGACAGACAGAGGCAATAATGGAGTTTTCAGAGTCAGAGAGGAAAAGCGCAAACTTCCCCTTTCCTCCCTTGCGACTTAATGAAATAATATTCCCCACCAAGGATAAGAGATTCATGAAATGAAGAAGGAAACACAAACTTTGGAGGAGTGCCGGAGGAGGATCCCCCAGCAGTGATGCCTGCATACGTCTTCGCCATAGACGGCGAGAAAGCGCAGAGGCGAGGAAAGAAGACGAGAACGGAGGAGAAGCCAAAGCCAGAAAACGAAAGGAAAGATCTCACCAGAGTTCAACCGTCGAGAGAGAAGGCAAACCGTCAACATCGCAAAATCGCCTCCCGATTGCTAGCGATTTGAACCCTAGCGGAGCGGCCGAACTATATATATATATATATATATATATGTATATATATATAGATTATTTTTCATTCATACATTCAATTGCAAAATCTTGACTATTATCTTAAACAACAAAAAAAGAGTATGAAGACAACTTTTACAAATTTTAAGAGGATTTGATCATGCGCATGAGCACTAAAGTAGCGCTCTAATAGCTATCTAGCTATTGAAATAGAAATTCATTTATTTAATGTTGTAGTACTCAAATGAATTGACATTTTTTATCCTCGTATAGAAATATGTCTAGAGCAAGTTCAATGTATTTGATTTTAAAAATTATATAGAAGTATTTCTAGTGAAGGATATTAAAAGCCATTTATTTCTTATCAAGCTTGATCAACAATCAAATCCTTGTAAAATTCATATAAGATGTACATTATAACTCCTAGTGGTTTTTTGGTTGTATATTAGCATCAACAATCTTGTGTTTGTGTTTGAAGATTATAACATAAAAACTAATTATATGTGCATGCAGATTTAATATCAAAATAGTCTCCTGGCTAATTATGTGCATGGTTAGTTTAGTGTTAAAAGTATCATATTTCTCCAATTTAGTCTATCAACTTTACAAAATTGAATCAAAAGGTCTTTTTTGTAGAAAGTGTGATACAAAATTGAACTTTTTTGGATCAATTTTGTGTGGTTGAGGAATTAGATTGGCCACTTATAGATGGTGAGGGGCTTTTGGAGTTTAACCCATGTGTGTAATATTTTTGTGAAACTAGTACTGTATATTAATTGGAGTAAATTGATTGGCATTCATTTTATCATTTAGAATTTTTTTTGATAATATTGATTGCATTATCGTGAATATACATGGTCAAATATATGTTGATGAGATTTATGGTGGGTTTTTTTTAATTCAGTTTCATGCATGCTTTATTTTTCTTTCAAACTTTATAATCACATGTCATATAATGCATAGCGTACCAAGTTTGTTGTCTAGTATGATCATTATTTCTGTCCATCATTTAGACGTTTTCACCAAAATATAGAGAGAACACTAACATATAAAAAACACCTCACGCATATGAATTGAGAATGAATTTTAAAAAGCTGGCCTCAAAAAGTTGTGTTAATGCTAATGCTGAACATGTTAATTTTGATCTAGCGATTTCTACCATCATTTATATTTTTTCTTTGAATGGTCATATTTTGCTTTGGATGTTCTGAAATTTATTTTATATTAAACGTGCAGCTGAAAAATCCTTCTCATCCCCATCGAGCTGTGCCAGTTGCTATCAATTGCCTTGCCACTTTGTTAAGGGAATCTTCTGTGAGAGCTTCTTTTGTACAAACAGATAGTGTGAAGTTGTTAGTCCCTTTGATCTCTCCAGCATCTACTCAACAATCAATTCAGGTAACTCAACTTTGGGTAATTATTAATTTCGTTGAGGACCACAAATAGTTAACCAAAGGCTGAGGATTGTGAGATAAATAGATATGTCTGTATGGATATGATGGATAGATATACAGACATAAATATAAATACAAATACAGAAATAAATAGTTGTAAAAATATATACTTCTATCCAATCTCAAGGTAGTAAGATCTAATTCCTAGCTTAATTCGCATTTGATAGAGCTTAGGTATGCGTGCAAATTTGCTCGTTGGTTTAGCTTTGAGCGAAAAATTGATCTGATTTTTGACCTTGCTTGATCTTAAAGTCAACCCTAGTAATTAGGCATCTCTTAAATCATGGTTTACTTTGGTATGCTTGAATCTGAAAAAATTTAGAAACTTGATATACTTTCAATTTTCAAAGCAGATTATTTTTTGACCATGTTCCTAGTCAAGTGATTGGTTTAAGTATAATGTAAGACATTAAACCATTTTGTATACCATACATACAAATATTGCATTTTTTTGAAATTAATGCAAATTGCTGACAAAAAGTTTGAATGGTATTCCTCTCGCAGCTTCTTTATGAAACTTGTCTGTGTGTTTGGCTGTTGTCATATTATGATGCTGCAGTTCATTACTTGGCTTCTACTAGAATTCTGCCGAGACTTGCTGAGGTTGTCAAAGGTTCTACTAAGGAGAAGGTAAAGCTTTGATACGTTCTGTTTGATTGCTGGCTGTTTACATGCTTCCATGATCTGGTATGAGATTCTTGTTATTTTCTTATGTTGCAGGTTGTGAGGGTTGTCATCTTGACTTTTAGAAACTTGCTTTCAAGGGGAGGTTTTGGGGCTCAAATGGTAGATCTTGGATTACTACAAATTGTCCTAAGTCTAAAAGCACAATCCTGGAGTGATGAGGTAATGTCACAAAGCGGATCAGCTAGAAATTTAGAGTACTGATAGCATTATGTAAAATGATAACATTACTGTTAAATTTTTTGGTCCATTTTGCTTATTAAATTGGGATTGCCCCTTTGCAACCTTCTTTACGGATGTGGCCATGCTATACTAACAGGGCTAGGAGTTTCTCTCTAATAATTGTTTTTTCATATTTGTGTTTATTTAATCTTTTACTTAGAAGTGTAGTTCCCGAGTGTCACTATGTGACACAAATAGACCAAAATAATTATTGGAGCATGTTATGATCATAATTGACTTTGTAATTAGTATGACTGTTAAGTATTATTGACTTCAATCGCTGGAACCATACTTATTTTAGGTACTTGTTAGCGTTTCATTGTAAAAGGCATCTGTGGTTTTAGTTGAAATTATTTTGTTGAAATTTATTTTTTTTTCAACTTAACTCCGTTTTGTCTGGATAACATTTAGTCTTTTGGATAGGTCAAAAAATATATTATAGCTGATGAATGAAGTTAAAGATTCAGCTGGGATTGTGTTTTACAATACCATCAGCATCACTGTATGAATCTGCTATGGTAGTCTAGGGAGACGTCATTTTTAGGAGATCAATTGATATTTTATTATTGTGTTTTCACATGTATTTTAGTCGGAATTTCTTAGTGTTTTCATCTGTTTTAGCACGATAAAATTCTACATTGATTTTTTTGTAAATTGATTATGTGCCTTGACTTCATTTGATACTGGACGAGCTCATTGCATTATTGCAAAAGATGTTCTCGCTTTGTTTTTCTGAACTGTAATCTACAGTTTGTGAATTTTACCACACGAAAAATGTTGTTTTATTGTCAAATTGGCTGTAGGACTTGCTTGAGGCATTGAATAAGCTAGAAGAAGGGCTTAAGGATAACATCAAAAGGTTGAGTTCTTTTGATAAATACAAGCAAGCAGTTCTTCTTGGTCAGCTAGACTGGTCTCCTATGCACAAGGATCCTGTATTCTGGAAGGATAATATTACAAATTTTGAAGAAAATGATTTCCAGGTATTTTGCTATTTATTTTATGCTTCCAATGCTAACAGACATTGCTTATGGGAAAATGACCTATTTTCTTTATATGATCAAATCTCAGAATTTCTATACATAGATGTGTTTTGACAAGGAAATGCAAATACTTGCACATTCGGGCTAGTCAAAGTGCATCTATAATATTAGAAAATTATGCCCATACCCGCCAAATTTTCAATATCTGTATATCTCACATGTATACTTAAAAACTGCTAACAAATTCATGTATTTGTGCGTTCCATGATCAAATCAGTGGCAATTTCTTGAAATTAAAAAAAAATATTGATTGATATTTTTCTGTGCTTTTTGAGCTTCAGGTGGTATTATTGTAAGTACTTAGGAGTTAAATGTATAAATATGTAGGATTTGGGCGTTATATGGAAAGTTCTCCCGAAATATTAGATTTATATAAGAGGTATGTTGTTCTTATTATTGTTATTATCATGTGTGGAGATGTTCAGGTTAAAAGATACCAATAATTATGTGCGCTTATTTATGTAAGTCCGAACAAGTAAATAAATCAAATAGTGTTAGGAACGCGGTAAACACCTTTCTTATGGTCACTGTTTGGCATGCATGTTTCTTTATACTTGTTGTAGGAGAATTAATCTAGTTGACCTAACGTCAGCGGGCATAAGAACATTCTAGATTGATCTTGGGTTGATTTGAGTTTGTTCCATTCATTTTAGGATATATTTTGTTGAATTTCTACTCCAATCATAGCGAAGGATTGAAGACACACGAATCAAGGCTTTTTACCATTTTATCTGTTTATTTGTGACCTTGTAACAAAATAATTCAGACACAAATCAAAGTTTTGCATTGTTAGATCTAGGTACACAGATCGAGACTCTGTACTATTTAATATATCTATATCCCTCGGATTGTGAACCGTGTGTTTTCTTATATGATCGTTGGCTCTAATTATTTTTTTTTTTTTGATTTATTCATATTTTGTAATGTCTCTGGGAGTTATATATAAACATTCTCTCTTGCACAAAGAAGTGAATGAAATTTTTTAAAATATTTTTCCCATTATTTATTTTCTACATGGTATCAAAGCGATGTTAGGATGTTCCTTCCAACCTTTGTTCGTATTCTCAAAGGTTAGGTTTTCAATTATAACGTTATCCCTTCTGTCGAATTCTCTTTATTTTCACAATGTTTAGGTTCTTTAACTTCCCTTCAAAGGAATCATCTATGATTAATAGTGAAAATTAGACCAAAGGAGAACTCTAGGTTTTTCGAGCATCTTATCACTTGAATGGAATTACCAAATTGTGAAAATCTTCCAAAAGAGAAAGGAAAATATCCAACACCTTGTGAATCTATCTTCGAAGCTTAATGATTCAAATTTTTTACTTTGGGAAAAAATGATTTCATGATCATGACATTGTTGTGAAATACCATGCTACTGGAGATCAATGGACCTTTTTATGTTTCTCTCAACATCAAAAGAGGTGTGGGATCCAGTTAAATAAACCCGCTCGAAGATGAAAGATGCTGCACTCATCTTGAAATCAAGGCAAAGCTCACCACTATCAAACATGGTATTCTTCTTGTCTTTGAATTCTTTAACACCATGAAGGTTTCTGGTTAGAGTTGGACTATTATCAAGATCTCATGATGCTTTGTTGTAAGGATGCGTCGTTCCTTACAAAATTCGTCAAGCGAGAGAGGATCTTTGAGTTTTTGGCAGAACTCAATAATAATATTGGCCAAATAGCAGAAAAAATCTCCCTTCATTAAATGAAGTATTTTCTCTCATTCAAGCAAATAAAAAAGAAGGACGATGATGATCAATATTCTAGCCCTCGAGATATCTGCCGTGACAAGCTTTGAATCCTATGATAAGGGACTTTTGTCACAAAATTATCTCCAAAAGGACAACATTCTCCTTTCAAAGGACATTACTGGTGCAACTACCGTAAAAGAAAGTGCACTCCAAAGACAAATGCCGGAAGCCCAATATCATAATTTAAAGATGGAAATAAAAAAATGACTAGTTTGCCTAATGGAGTCGGAATGACTCAATTAAGAAGAAATCGACAACTTAAAGAATCTTCTCAATTCTTTAGAAAAATCATCAGGATCTTCTTCTCTTGCTCAAAATGGTATGATGTTTAATTTTTATACCCTTATTGTCTCTGATAATTCTTTATCTTCATGGATTCTAAATTCAAGGGCTACCAATCACATAACAAACTTTACTAATATATTTCAAACTTATAAACTTGTTCTTAGCAATAGAAAATTAGAAGTTGCTGATGGATTTTTAAATTTTTTTTATAAGATAGGGAGACATCTTAATCTCTCCAAATTTAATCTCGTAATATATCTCACCTATTGCAGTTAACTTTTTATCTATTCACAAATTTACCAAAGCTCACAACTGCAAAATCGTACTTTGTTATCGATTATAATGTTTTTTAGGATCTCACTACGGGCAAGATGATTGAGTGAGCTAGAGAAAAAGATGAGTTATACTTTCTTGAAAATCAAGGTCAACTATCATACTCTACTTCTCATACTGCCGATAACATTTGGGTTCATCATCATAGATTAAAACATTTTTATTTTAAAAATTTTCAGTGCCTATTTTCTTTATTTTTTTTAAATACAACCATTAAAGATCTTCAATGTGAAATTGCTAAACATCACCATTAAAGATCTTGAAAGTTACTCTTTAAATACAACCATTAAAGATCCTGAAAGTTACTCTAGATCTTCGAGTTTTTGTGTATTAATTCATTCTAATATACGAGGACTTTCTAAAATCCCTAATATCTCTACAGCCTCTGGTTATGTTACGTTTATTGATGATCACATTTGAATTACACACAATAACAACAATAACAAGCCTTTATCCTACCTAGTGGGGTTGGCTAATTGAATCCGTTTTCACTATTGCATGTAAAATATATGGTTTTACTTAATTAAATAGAAATATGATATTAGCCTATACTTATTATTTTTTACTTATATGAGAAAATTAACTCCAAAATTAATTTTTTTCAAACTGATATCGCACGTAATTATTTTAATCACACATCATCATTATTCTTTCAAAAAGAGATTATCATCCATCCATCTTCATGCTTGATACTTTCCAACAAAATCAAGTGACAGGAAAAAAATGTTTTCTTTTGAAGGTAATTAGGACACCTCACTTGCATGTTCAAATACCAAAATAATATTGGGGAGAAACTGTTCTAAGAACTTCTTATTTAATCAATAGAATACCCTCAAGTGTAATTGATTCCAAAAAGCTATTAAGTTATTTGATAAAATTCCTTAATATGAAAATTTCTTAAAGATCCCTCGAAAAATTTTTGGATGTATTATTTATGTTTATATCTATAAACAACATAGAGAAATATTGTACTCCAAAGCTCTCAACTGCATCATCATCGGATATTTTGCCCAACAAAAAGGGTTCAAACGCTATTATCCATCCACGAAAATGTTCTTCACTTCAATAATTGTCATTTACTTTTGATGAAACTCGTAGTTTCTTCTCTCATAGCACTTTGATAAAGTTGACGATATCTTTCATCATAGGATTTCTGTAATAGAAAATCATTCAAATACAAACCTTGTACCAACTATCTTCCTCCCCCTTCAAGTCTATACAAAAAAGAACACGCCCAATCAAAATCTCTAGCAATTTTAAGGCTTGGAATAATTACTAGGTAAGTACTCAACCAATTACCACTCATTTATATCCCATCTCACAGGATAACTCTTTTTAAAAACTCCCTCAATCTCATGGCTAACCAACATCAACACAATTATGTTTCCATTCTGCAAACTTTATTTTAGGTGCTTGAAAATAAAAGTTTGAAGGAAACTATGAAAGAAAAGTTGAATGCCTTAGAAAAAAATAATACATGAGAGATAACTTAATTACTAAAAGGAAAGACGATAGTAGGGTGTAAATATATTTTCACGGTGAAATACAATATAGATGGGAGCTTAGAATGATATAAAACAAGATTAGTAGCAAAAGTATATACTCAATCATATAGGATTGATTATCAGTAAACTTTTGCTTATGTTGTAAAAATGAATACTATTCGCATTATTATATTTCTAGTAGCCAAATATGGGTGGCCTATGCAAATATATGTTGCAAAACATATTTTCTTACATGGTGATGTTGAAGAAGAGGTCTATACGGATCCACCAACAGGATTGATAGCTCTTTTAAAAAAAAAAATCAAGTATACAAATTGATGATCTTATATGAACTAAAGCAATCATCCATAGCATAATTGACACATTTGCAAGGCTATGGATGGAGCTGGATAGAAACATAGTCAATGAGATCTTACTCTCTCCATATAACACTCTGTCGTTGGTAAAATCTCAATTCTTACTGTGTATAGTGACGATATGATTGTTACAGGAGATGACAATCAAGAGAAAGAAATTCTCAGAAAAGGATTTGTTGAAGAATTTAAAATTAAAGAGTTAAGAGAACTCAAATACTTCTTGGAAATAGAAGTGGCTTAATATGAAGAAAGAATATTTCTCTCCCAAAAAAATATGTTATGGATATGTTGAATGGGACCAATATGATATAGTGTAAGTCATGTGAAACTCCAATTGAACCAAGACAAAAGTTGGAACTTGATGAATGAGCTGATGTAGATACGGGATAATATCAAATGTTAGTGGGAATATTAATGTACTTATCTTATACCCATGCTGACATTGCATTTGCAACAAGTCTATTTAGTCAATTCATGCACAAACCTAAAGAGATACCTTCAAAACGTTTATAGAACCTTAGATTTCTCAAATTACTGTAAATATCTATAAATCAGTATATAGACACCCTCTCATGACAATTATTATATTCATGACCAATCATTATAAAAGCATATTTTAATTTGGTTTTGATGCTCTTATAAAGTATGTAATTTTAGGCTTATGCTTATGCATAGGTCAATCCTTATTTCTTAAGTCGATTA